CCCCTGGTGGGCTGAGCTGGCCTCTCTCTCTCTCTCTCTCTCTCTCTCTCTCTCTCTCTCTCTCAAATAAATAAATAAATAAATAAATAAAGGAAATCAAAGTCAGCATGAATTGCATAGCAAGATTTTTGTTTCAAAAAACCAAAACGAAAAAATTTTTAACCTTTAACATGGAAATCCTACAAGCATCCTATTACCAGTGTACATAATATACATTTATAAACGCTGTACCACAAATTAGCTGTCTTATCTTTTATACCATTTAAACAACTTTCTTAAGAACTGTGTAGCATGGTGGTACATGCCTGTAATCCCAGCTCTCAGGAGGCTGAGGCAGGAAGGATTGTTCCAAGTTCTAGACCAAGAGAGGTTACAAAGTGAGCTCAAGGCCAGCCTGAATTGCATAGTGATTTAAAAGGTGAGGGAAAGCCAGGCATGGTGGTACACACCTGTAATCCCAATCCTCAGAAGGCTGAGGCAGGAGGACTGCCAAAAGCTTGAGGCCAGTCTAGACTACCCAGCAAGTTCCAGGCCAACCTGAACTACATTTTGAGACACCATCTCAAGAAAACAAGGGGTTAGGGTAGACCCTTTCAGGTCACACCCCACAGTGACATACCAACTCTTGAATCAGGCTTTACCTCCCAACAGCATATTTACTATACACTCACCCATAGATTAATCTCCAGGATCCAATCACATCCAAAGGCCCATCTATGAGCACGAGGTTTTGTGAGAACATCTTGATATAAACCACACATCCTCAAACCAAATTCTTAACTTGAATTCACGCATTCATACTCATATTTTCTCCCAGTGTTAAGAGATAAAACCCACAACTTTGTTCACAGTAGGTAAGCACTGAGGTACATCCCTAGTTCCTCATATAAGTTCAGGTGCACAAAGCAAGAGACAATCTGGTAAAGCCAACACTGATTTACTTTCTGATTTCCAACCTGAACTGCACCATTTGATTCACTACAGAAGACACTGAAGTTATAGTATTTCTGGTGAACAGCTCTTAACTGAACCAAGTAAGACGCAGTAATCAAAACTGCCTGAGATGTAATTACCTTTAAAATAGCAGGCATGCTTACATGTACTGAAAACGTCTCTGTGAAGAGTTTGTAGAGACACTCCTTCATGTAACATGACCTGTTCCTGTATCTGCTCAGTGCTTCAGCAATTTGACTCAAATTGGCTCCTCCAGCAACCTGAAAAACACAGCCCTAATAGGTTTCACTGGTCATCCACAAGTAGCCTTTTCTGAACTCCCAGGCTTTGAGACAGTACCAACAAGTGTTTGATTAAATATCCCAAGCTATTTAGAATGTTCTCATTTAAACATAACTCTAAAAGATTCTTTCATTAACTTCAGCACTTTTTAACAGAGAAGTTGAGTGTGTTAATAATTTAACAGACAATTAGGGGCTGGGGAGATGGCTCACTAGAATAAGGGCTTGCCTAGCAAGGGCAAGGGCCTGAGTTCAATCCCCAGTTCTGAGAAAAAAAAAAAAAAAAAAAGCAATTAACTGGTGGCATCAGAATCAAATACAGTATCATCTTCCTATAACTACATTACACAGGCCAGGTGTGGTGGTACACACCTGTAATCCCAACACTTGGGAGGTTGAAGTAGGATTTGAGGTCAGCCTGGGCTACAAAGTGAGTTCAAGCCCAGCCTGAACTACACCATGATATCCTGACTCAAAAAGAAAACAAAAACAAAAAAACCCCTACATTACAGTTAACACCTCAACTAAATGATGGGTAGTAAGTTTTTCAACAACTAGTAATAAAGTTTTCTAACTATTCAGAGAAAATTAAGGGCAAAGCTTCACAAAATATGAAAATGCAGCGATCAGTAGTATTTACTTAGCATTATAATTTTTCCTTCTATCACTGAAGTATATACATTAAATAGTCAATAAATACTGGGCCTGAAACATAGTGGCAATCACCTGTATTTTGTTATCACTTCTTTCCACAAACACCCTCTCCACCATCTTCTTTCCAAACCTTAAAAAAAAAAAAAAAATTTAAAAAAAAATTGGGGCTGGGGAGATGGCTCAGTGG